AAAGAATTAGAAAACCTCTCCTCTGAAGGATTCAGCTGGAAACACATTTCATGGCTCACTGATATTAAACCAGTGATTGCTCAGTTCCCTGTAAAGCATTGGACCTAAGGGTTGAAACCTTTTCTGCTTCCAGAAGGAATGCCAAACATTATATACGGTGATGTAATTATGATGTAAACTGGCACCAAGACAATTTATACTGTAAATCTGGAAGAAAAATAATTAGCACTGATCTGTTCTGATCCAGAAAATCTTCCACATTTAAAGTATATTTATACCACAAGTTAAATAATGGTGCCAAATTTTCTGCTGTTGATAGCTGGGGAAGCTTCATTAATTCACATTGCACCAGTTTTCAAGGGAGAGCTTAGTTCAGGGCTTTACAGGATCAAGCTGTTCGTTGGAAATAAAAGCTTAATGGATTCAACAGGTAAAACAACAAAGAAATATTATAACCAGAGGGAGTCACATAGGATTTATTTCACTACTTAATCAGTGGACAGTGTGGAAGATCATAGTATCATTATTTCCTCCGCAATACTCATGTATAAGCCAGACCACTATCTGTTCATATTGTTTTCTTCCATTACATGTATTTTTTGATCCATTGTAATAATTTACTTTGGCTTCTAGCTCCAAGCACAGAATACAGTTTCCATCTTATTCCAAATAATATTGGCTAGTTGCTAGGGGAGTGTGCTGATTTCTTTTACAATTTCTTTTCCTCACCACATCTGGGTGCAATTTTTTTTTATATATCATCTCCCTAGGACATTTTCCCTGTGAGAAACCCAGACGTGAAATGCAGCCCTTTCAGATCTTGTTTGGTGTTTCATACAAAGGAGCATTAACTAAATATATTTACAGAAGAGGATTTTGCCTGCTGGTGTTTACTACCAGGCGTAAACACTTAAGTGCACATGTGCATGGGTCTGCACACTCCTCTGTTACCTCCTCTGAGGGAGCAAGTAGGTATGAATTTAAGGGCAGCTGTGAATTAACTTAAGGAAGACTTAAGGGCGAGCCTTCCTGCTCCTTTCTGCTGCAGACCTGTGAAGTCTCACACACTAAGTGCGCAGCCTGCTTCTTTGGGCCATTTCACCCTCGCGAGCAGATTTGGTGGGGGGAATGAACCGGTTTCTGCTGTGCTTAGCTGTGCTCCTGACCCCTCTGATCAAACTTAGCCACTCTCTCCCACTGAGGGACTGCCCCATGGGGTTTACACAGGCTCCTCAGCCCCACAGGTTATAGGCTGACCTGCTAATATAAACCAATGTCAATTTTAAAGCAGAAATGGGCAGTGGTTTACATTACTCTGCTGACCTGCGAACCACAGGGGAGATGTTGGGCTTTCTTTTAAGAACAGGCTTTTGCCATGTTGTAGTTGTGATGGGGTCAGGAATAGCACATGCATTTCTAATTTATCTGCTCAGTACAACCTCGCACTTTCATTCTTCCTCAGTTTTTAGTCACAATATTCACTTCTATGTTTGAAGTACTCCTTTCATTTCCCAGAGGGTAGTTGCACTGGATTTTGAAGATGAAGTTGTCTACTACTGCTAATTGCTGTCACCCCATGGCTACCAATAGCACTTTATCAGTTTATGTGAGACTTCAAGGCTTGCAAAGCAACCTAATGCTTTAATTTTCACACTTCAAATTCACTGATTGGTACAAGATTAAATGTGAAAACAGGCATGAGCTTGTGCATGTAAACATCTGCCAGCTGGCAACTGTGATTAGAAGACTGTATTTTGAGTAATTATATACTGTGTATTCTCTCCTCTCCTCTCCTCTCCTCTCCTCTCCTCGATTCAACAGGTAAAACAACAAAGAAATATTATAACCAGAGGGAGTCACATAGGATTTATTTCACTACTTAATCAGTGGACAGTGTGGAAGATCATAGTATCATTATTTCCTCCGCAATACTCATGTATAAGCCAGACCACTATCTGTTCATATTGTTTTCTTCCATTACATGTATTTTTTGATCCATTGTAATAATTTACTTTGGCTTCTAGCTCCAAGCACAGAATACAGTTTCCATCTTATTCCAAATAATATTGGCTAGTTGCTAGGGGAGTGTGCTGATTTCTTTTACAATTTCTTTTCCTCACCACATCTGGGTGCAATTTTTTTTTATATATCATCTCCCTAGGACATTTTCCCTGTGAGAAACCCAGACGTGAAATGCAGCCCTTTCAGATCTTGTTTGGTGTTTCATACAAAGGAGCATTAACTAAATATATTTACAGAAGAGGATTTTGCCTGCTGGTGTTTACTACCAGGCGTAAACACTTAAGTGCACATGTGCATGGGTCTGCACACTCCTCTGTTACCTCCTCTGAGGGAGCAAGTAGGTATGAATTTAAGGGCAGCTGTGAATTAACTTAAGGAAGACTTAAGGGCGAGCCTTCCTGCTCCTTTCTGCTGCAGACCTGTGAAGTCTCACACACTAAGTGCGCAGCCTGCTTCTTTGGGCCATTTCACCCTCGCGAGCAGATTTGGTGGGGGGAATGAACCGGTTTCTGCTGTGCTTAGCTGTGCTCCTGACCCCTCTGATCAAACTTAGCCACTCTCTCCCACTGAGGGACTGCCCCATGGGGTTTACACAGGCTCCTCAGCCCCACAGGTTATAGGCTGACCTGCTAATATAAACCAATGTCAATTTTAAAGCAGAAATGGGCAGTGGTTTACATTACTCTGCTGACCTGCGAACCACAGGGGAGATGTTGGGCTTTCTTTTAAGAACAGGCTTTTGCCATGTTGTAGTTGTGATGGGGTCAGGAATAGCACATGCATTTCTAATTTATCTGCTCAGTACAACCTCGCACTTTCATTCTTCCTCAGTTTTTAGTCACAATATTCACTTCTATGTTTGAAGTACTCCTTTCATTTCCCAGAGGGTAGTTGCACTGGATTTTGAAGATGAAGTTGTCTACTACTGCTAATTGCTGTCACCCCATGGCTACCAATAGCACTTTATCAGTTTATGTGAGACTTCAAGGCTTGCAAAGCAACCTAATGCTTTAATTTTCACACTTCAAATTCACTGATTGGTACAAGATTAAATGTGAAAACAGGCATGAGCTTGTGCATGTAAACATCTGCCAGCTGGCAACTGTGATTAGAAGACTGTATTTTGAGTAATTATATACTGTGTATTCTCTCCTCTCCTCTCCTCTCCTCTCCTTGCTGTCACCCCATGGCTACCAATAGCACTTTATCAGTTTATGTGAGACTTCAAGGCTTGCAAAGCAACCTAATGCTTTAATTTTCACACTTCAAATTCACTGATTGGTACAAGATTAAATGTGAAAACAGGCATGAGCTTGTGCATGTAAACATCTGCCAGCTGGCAACTGTGATTAGAAGACTGTATTTTGAGTAATTATATACTGTGTATTCTCTCCTCTCCTCTCCTCTCCTCTCCTCTCCTCTCCTCTCCTCTCCTCTCTCCTCCTCCTCTCCTCCCCAGGTTCTTATGCCTACATATACCAGAAGTATACAGATAACATACCTAAATGCAACATACAGTATGTTGTTTGTCTCATCTTCTTCACAAGAGAGAAGAGCTAAACATTTTGATTTAGATCTATCAATTCACATTTGCATTTATGAAGAAAAGGCTTTCCTGCTCTCCCGTATTTCCAGCACAGCTCTTCATTTTCCTTGGCAGCTTACTGGCAGTGTCCTCAGCCCACTCGAGATACAGGATTCCCAGATGGCAGGCTGGTCACATACAAGTTTAGATTGATTCAGTTCCCATCGACTTCAGTGGCAGCAACTTTTGGTATTCAGAAATTTATTTATGGCTAGCTTTATTCCTTTTTTCCTTTCCTGTGGATCTTTCTTTAGAGCAGAAATTTCCATCTCTCTGGTGGCTCATCTGTTTCACTGAACTCTTTGGTTGTTTGCTGTTTCTTGTCAAAGCTCTGGCAGTGTGAATAAAGTCTAAGAGGGGGGACTGGGGAAGTTGAGACTTTTCTGTTTGTTTACACTGATTTCATTGAAGAGCAACATCAGGGCATCTCACAGAGCTGGATGAGGACAGAAGTGGTGTAAAGGGGAGGAGAATCAGCCCCCCCCGGATCCACATTAAGGCTGTGCAAATGGTGCTGGTGATGGATGGGGATTTCCCCCTTTGGCTGTGAGGTCAGGGCAGCTCATTGATCATATTCCTGAACTTCCTGCGGAAGAATCCACAAAACACTGGTTTCTGTCTGACCTGTTTTTAGTTCTAGCAGTAATCTTTGAGTGAAATGTTGAATTCATCTCCACCTAAATACTGATTAAAAAGTACCATTTTGATGCAGGCAGGAAAAAACACTACTGAAACATCTGAGCTTGGCTGTTAAATGACATGATCTCACTTTGTTCCTTAAAGTAACTGTCCATGTCCCCTCGAAGGGGACGGCAAAGATTTATTCTTTTAAAGATTATTCTTTCAGCAGTGAGATGATTCAGTGTGATTTTCCTCTGGCTGCATGAGCTGTGTTGCCGAGGCAGAGCTGTCCTGTCAGCAGCATGCCCAGTGTCAGAGCGATCCCTGTCCTGCAGGAAGGTATGCAACATACTCAGGATTGGTTTTTTTTTTTGGTATGTGTGGGTTTTTGTTTTTTTTTTTTTTTTTTTTTTTTTTTTTGGGTGACCATGACTGCACATGGGCTACCCATGAATTAGGCACTGCTGTGGTTTGAAAAGCAAGCAAAGACACTTAAAGATGCTGCTTTTGCTCACATTGTGAAAGGCAGATGCATTTGAGAGTCGGACTCGTTATCTCATCCCGGGCAGCTCCCCCGTGGTGATACCACGAGCAGCAAGTCAACAACAGCCTGTCTAATGGGAAGCTGGAATCTGAGCATGAGTGACTAAATAGCCCTCGAAAAATAAAAAAAATAGGATACAAAAAAACAGACGTCCTTGAGCATTTGAGACGGATGTGAGAGAGTTTTTAGTCCTCATGCAAAACAACCAACTAAACATAACAGATTACATCAGCTCAGGCTTTTCAATTCCTGGATGGCAGCAGAGTGCTAATCCAACCTTCATCCTGGATTTCATAAACTGAAACAAGGGAGGCTGGCAGGAGCAGCGCTGCCGGATTGAGGAAGCTGACGACGGTGCAGCATGTGGGCAACACACTGTATAAAGCTCATAAACTTGTAGGCTGATGTGTGCAGCTACCACTTTGGATTCTGTACTGCTGCTTCCCTCGGCACAAGGCACCAGCAGGCTGAGCATTAAAGCCTGCTCTTTGGGACGGAGCGCTTACCCCTGCAAGACATGAAGGGCTTCCTGTTTCTCACACTCCTCCTGATGCCCGTGCACGCTGGAGCTGCTTGGAGTGCGAAATACGCAGTAGATTGTCCCGAGCCCTGTGACAGTAACGCATGCAAAAGTACCTTGCGCTGTAAGCGAACGGTGCTGGATGACTGTGGCTGCTGCAGAGTGTGTGCAGCTGCTCTGGGGGAGACTTGCTATCGTACGGTCTCGGGTATGGATGGTGTCAAGTGTGGTCCTGGGCTGAAGTGCCAGTTTTACACAGAGGAGGATGACTTTGGTGATGAATTTGGTATCTGCAAAGGTAACAATATTCACTTTGCATGCACCGAATGGGGCAATTTGACAGCAACCTACGTATAGATCTTGCCTCCTGCTTGAAAGATCTAAACCGGGATTTTTCCAGCTCAGCCCTTAGCCGAGAAGAAAGTGAAAAATATCTGCTGGTATTAAAGGGTGTTACATGTAGGCGGGACAGGGTTATTAATGTGAGAATACTGTTTAGGCTTGGGGACATGTGTGAGGAAATACGGATGCGGTGTGCTTGGAGATGAGATTTTTGATTGGGACTTGAGAGACCCAGACACTAGTCTTGATTCTTCCGCTGATTTGGTGGGTGGCTTTCTATAAATTGCAAAGACTTTAATCCTGTGAGTCCAACCTTGTCACGGAGTCCCTTGCCTCTGCCAGGCTTTCCCTGGGGTGAGGTTCCCTCCGGCACTGCCAGCTGCCTGCCCAGGGACCAGGTGCTCTCTCTGGGAGATGGAGATAACAGCCCTGCTTGAGCACCTGGAGATGTTGTTGTCTTTAATTCAGTCCTGCCTTTGGGCTGCTCAGCCACCTTAGGGATGTGGTCGGGGGAGGCAAAGAGAGACCCTCCTGCCTGAAAGATAGGAATAACAGAACAGGAGCTGACTGTGAGATGAACAGCCAGCCACTGCTCTCAGCTTATTCCAGGTATGCTGCATGCTGATTTCTTTAGCTGTAGACTATAATGGCATTTTTCGTTTAAGAGCTATCCTCACTCTATGCAAAAAGGAGAATCTTTAAAAGGATGGGAGGAATTAAGTTACTAAGAAGTAGAATGAAAGTTTTTAAAATAAATAATTTTTTAAAAAGGCTTTGCAAAGTATAAATGCAGTGAGTTTTCCTGTGCTTGTGTACCACTTCAGTAAGCAGGTACAGATATGTCTTTGAATAACTTCCTTAAAACTTCAGGAGTATTCATAGCCTCAGCTAAAGTAATGACTTAGGACCAGATGCTGCAAAAATCATTCAGGCTGACTCACAAACAGCACACATTTATTTACACTGGTATTTAAAAACAAATTCATGTGCATGCTTGAGGGTGAAACCCAAAGTACTACTTTTATATCTAAAGACTAGACTTTGCACATAAAGCTAATGTGTTTGGTGTAACCACCAGAAAAGTATTTTACTGACATAGTTGACTGATCTTCAGTTTATTAAAAATTACTGCAGTGCAAATGCTACCTATAATACTTCTAATAGTTTTTTTTGGATGATTATGTACTGTATAGGAATTTCTTTGCATGGGCACACTTCAAATGGGAAAAAAGAAACATTGAAGACGTGAGATCTGAATCCCTGTAGCTGAATCTCGGAAGCTCTGTAGAAAATGTAAAGTAATTTTTTTTTCCAGTGAGTCAGTGGAAAAACTCTCATTAATTTCAATGAAGCCATATCTTGACTTAGAGTTGTAAATTGGTATTTTAGGTTTATATTCCCCATGTATCTATTTGCACTAAATAATATAGATGTCATTTCTAATTATTTTTCTTTTTTTCATCTCAGCCGTGAGATAGTACAATATCTTTCTGCATATATGTGAATTTTATCAGGCAAAGTATGCAGCCAAGTACTGTTATTTTATACATCCATTTATAGCTATGATACCAGACCACTCACTCTTTTTAATAACTTCCATGTTTGTAATAATTCACGGAGTCAGGATGGCTAAATACTCTCTGGTTGCCTGTGACTGGTTTACTTTGAAAGCAAAATGACCTGAGCTCTCTGTTCTCCAATTTCTTATTTCTAAAATGGCTATATCTTTCAGATTATTTTTTTGAGTACTTTTAGTATAATAAGAACCAGGCTGGATGGGGCTTTGAGCAACCTGCTCTGGTGGGAGGTGTCCCTGCCCATGGCAGGGGAGTTGGAACTCGGTGATCTATAAGGTCCCTTCCAACTCTAACCATTGTGTGATTCTATGATTCTAAGAGTGTATCATGTTATCATCAGTAGCAATGTCATTATTTTTCAAAACAGACTAAGGAATACTAGTGCACTTCTATTAGTAAATACCCTCTAAACCTGAGGTGTAACTGTCACAGTGAAGAGCATGCTTTTGCTTTCTTAGGTCACTGGGAGTTGTTTGCAATTTATTTAGGAGCAGGCTCCTGCTGAAAAAAAAATCTTCTAACAGAAGAATTGACTCAGATCTCAGTTTTGTCAAATCTGAAGAGCAGCATCCATGCCAGGATTATTCCACATGGAGCCAAGAGTTTTGGAGTCAGACTTGTTTCCATGCTGTTTTCCAGTGCACAGCTTTGCGTCCCGCCTCTCTGGGCTGAGCACCTGCAGCGGGCAGATTGATGCTCCATGTGGTGTGTGCTCTCAGCTTGTCCCTCAGGGAGGACCACGCACACAAAAACTGTTTTGCTTTGGCAGGATTTTGTTTTGGTTTTATGTGGACAAACAGCAGATCAAAGAGTGTCCTTGCTTGGGAAGGGGAGTATGGTGAAGCTCAGTGGGATCCTCCAGGCTGGAGAGATTCCCTGTGCAGTCCCTAGCAAGGAATTGGTTGATTTTCCCGTGCTTTTCATTATAAAAGCATACTCATTGGACATGCAGTGAATTGCAAAATGTTGGTTTCATTTTGAGGTATTGGCCTGATTTTCAGATAGCCTAGGCTGTATGGCAAAACTAAATACTTGCATTGATTCAAGAGGAGACTAGACAAACTGAGAAGGATAAACCTGTTGCAGGCTGTCATATGCATCATGTCTGGCTCAGGAGGTCCCAGAGCTGAAAATGGGGGAGAATATGAGAGGGGAGGTAACATTTGTGCTTACCACCACCATCTTTTTTCAGTGTTTTCTGGGAACCTGGGCTGGATGGATCCTTGGTCCAGCCCTGAATGGTCATTCATCTGCCTTTAGGAGCTGAACTGGAAATTATTCAGGACTTGCCATTTAAGGTGACCATGCACCCTGTGTTGGCAAGGACAGCCTGAACATAAAGACTTCTCTCCCGAGACACCCCAAGTTTCTCTAGGGATGATCTCTTCTTCGGGAGTTTGGAAAGGGAGCACTGGAGATTTTCCTTGTTTCCATCTGTTCAGTTATGATTGTGGGAAGGTACCTTGTTCAACAGCAAGGCAGATGAACACAAGGGCTGTGACCGCAGGTTTAAACCCTCTGGAAACTTACGTGATCCAGCACGTGATAAATGTCAGCTATAAAATGGGGAAAATCCTCTGCACCTGACTTAGTTTTTTTGTAAAAACACTTGGTTCCATCCTGACAGCTGCCCTTTGGTGCTCCTCCATGAGCTTTCTCGGGGATGGGAGGTTGGAATCGGGCGAGTGTGTGACCAGACGCAGTGTAACCAGGCAGGTGTCTTAGTGCCTCTAGAGCACAGTCCCTCTTTAGGCTGGAGATGTGGGTGAGCTCTTTGCTGTCTGCCCTGGCAAGGCAGCCCTTTGCTGCCCGAGAAGTGGTTGCACCGGGGCAGGCTCACCCCCAGGAGCCGGGATGTCCCCCGGGGAAGGTCACGTTCCCTGGAGAGCTGCTGGGATGCAGACAGCCCACCCGCAGCCGCCCCGGACACAGGCAGCCCAGCCCCACCAGTGCATTGCAGCTCTAAATCATGACGGTGATGTCAGTCAGACAATATCATGCCCAAATAGTGGATTCAGGAACTTTCTGAAGTCTCCTTCTTTTCTAAATCCAATGCTAATCCTTTAACAATTGTGATTACATACCTACATATTCATACTTCCTTTAATTTGCACTTCAATACTATGAATATTTCAGAAAAGAGTTACTGATAGCACGTTGTAAATAAGTTATAGAAAAATAAATTCTGTGTATAATGTGTGTCAAGGTTTGTCAGAACTGGAAAATACTTCTAACAAGCAGTTGCCATGCTGAAATCCTGTAGTTAAGGTTAAGCTGAGCTCTGCTTAAAGGTTTTCCACTTTTAAGGATATTAGCAGACCAGCTATTAACAGCGCTAGCAGGTGACTTGGATCACTGAAGACTGCTTTACCATATTACTGTTTTTCAGAGTGTCCCTATGGTACCTATGGAATGGAATGCAGGAAAACGTGCAACTGTCCCTCTGGCATCTGTGACAGAGTAACTGGGAAGTGTTTGAAGTTCCCATTTTTTCAACTGTCTGCTTCAAAGCCTCCAAATCGACGAAAAATAGTTTCACACACAGGTAAGACTTCACGGGGCAGTTGTTTTTAGCAGAAATCAGCTTGTATGTGTCTACTGCCACACAGTATGCTGCGTGTGAGTGACGTGTGCTTTGGTGGAGCTGTGCAAACAGCTAACAGCACAAGGTATATTTATTTTTCTCATTGGCAGCTCCCTTAACATAAGGCAAGGAATGAGGCGAGCTGTGACACAGGGTAAAAACATTTTGAAATCCTAAGGTGGGTGAAATGCTTTGCAGCTGTTGTGTGTGCTAGCAGTACAGCATCACCTGTGCAACGGGAGGCTGTGCTAGGATTTGCATTGGTCAGTTCAGATGTGATGTTTGTAGCTGCTTTGTGTAGAATGGGATTTCACGAAGTTCCATTTAATACTGTTAGCTAATAAACAGTAAAAATAACATCTTCTTTTCCATGAAGATAGAGCTTTATACATTTTCAGATGTCAGTGAACTGTTTTATGAAATGTTTTATTGTAGTCACTTATCACAGTATCTCTAGAACAAGTTCTTACTTTTATGATTATGTCTGTCGCCTGTAACAGATCTTGCCAGAAATAAAAAGAGGTGTGTGTGAAACTGGAGTGTTATTGAGGCAGGAAGGAGAAATCACTGAAGTTTTTAAAGCTGGGATTAAAATTTCTTCCCTCTTTATTCTCTACCTGATACTGAGGTATATTTGACTGAACAATGTTTACTATAAATTTAAACGCCAATCAAAATTAAAACAGGTTTAAAGAATTTAAATAAATATCAGAGATTTAATCCTAGACCTAGGGGGAGCTTACCTAGGATTTAATCCAAAAGTCTTTGAATTTTATCTCTCCTCTAACTGCAGTTTGTGTGCCTTATTTTGATTTTCTCCTGCTATATTAAGCTATCTAGCTGATGCTGCCTTAATACTTAACATTATCTTACTCCACTCTGTTTAGATAAAGTTAGACAGAGGCAAACTTCTTCAGCTTATACTCATATCACTTTTAAAATGATCTTTAAAAAAACCTGTGAGGTGGATCAGTCCTGATCCTTTTTTATTTTTCTACATGATTCTGCTCTTTTGCCTTTCCAGGTTTTGTTTATTACCAAGGGTGCTGAAATAACATGAAAAAAATACTCCTGTCTTGCTTTTTTATTTGTATCTAGCCTGTATTCCAAATCTTCCCAGTCAGCCTGTTTTCATCAGTTCCTCATTCCTTTTCCTCTTCTTCCCTTGCCTTTGGTCCCAATCCTTCTGCTGCCTCAGTGTTTAGCAGTTTGTCTGATCCCAGCTAGGATGAGATCCCGACCCCGTAGCAACAAATGGTGTTTTTTACCCACGCACGGGTTTCTGTCCTCAGAGGTCTGTCTGGAGGTAGACCAGGGACACTCTGGGTAGTACTATATGGGGTGGTCACATGAGGTTTCATTCAGCAGCAGTCTTCAGAGGTAGCTACAGCATCTAGGACAGAACCTCAACAAATTAAAACAGCTATGAATGCTTCTGTATGCTATACAGGCAAGTCTCTGGCCTGCATATTTTACAAAGACATTATAGCTAAATACACTCTAGTAAATTTATTGGTGCCAGAGCGTGTTCCTGTGTGTTGCAAATTGACCACCTTCACGACTCAACAGTCGGGCAGTGGTCAGCAAGCTTTCCCCAGCCTAGCTAGCTGTGCCAAACAACCTCAGCCACAGCTCAGGAACCAGCGTCAGCCAGGGACCATTTCCAGCAGACAAACTGGATATCTTTTACCTTGTTTTTGGAGAGTAAGAGAGTTTAATGGCATGCAGCAGGCTATTCCATGCCAGTTGGCCTCAGTCAGAGAATAGCTCCAGGCATGTTTAATTTACTGCTGTAGCTATTGAGGATGTGCTGCTTGGTCCCGTGTCACACTGGAGTGTTACAGTGAGGACTGGAAACTGAACTCAAATCACCTGCCTTACGCTTGAGCTATGAGAAAACACATCTGGCTTATGCCATAATTTGGCAGAAATTGTGCAACTAGGTTAATTGGAGGCATTCAGGGAGATTTTTGCAAGATTTGTCAGCTAAGGTTTTTCAGAAGTGTTCTCACAACCAGGGACATTTTTGCAGGACAATATTTTAATTCTCTCCTTTTCATTAAATCCACCTTTATTTTTGTATATTTTCAGAGAACGACATGGCATCTGGGGATGGCAATTCTGTAAAAGAGGAATTTGTTAAGGAGAAAGCTATTCGCTCTCCAGTAATGAAATGGCTAAATCCTCGCTGATATTTACTTACACTCATAAGACTTTTAAGTGAATGCATTTCTCACAAATTATTGAATATGCAACAACACACTTTAAAAGCAAAGTAGATGTATAGCGTATCAAAATATAACCTCTGAAGGCCAATTGTGATTCTGTTTTTCATGAGAAAAATGTTTACTTAAAAATAGACTGTACAGTGTATATGATTTTTGATATTTGTTTTGATAAGTATTTGAACAGAGAAGTGTATTGTGGATTCCTGAATGTATAGTAATATTAAAAAAACAACATGATTCAACTCTCCTCATCTAAATAATGCCAGAGGCCAACTTTTGCAGCCTGAGGCCGGGGAAGCTCTCACTGAATTCTGTGGACAGTTTGGGTGAGTGAAACTATTGGTGTGGAGCCAACGTGAAAAGAAACACACATCAACAAATACCAGGATAGAAAACAGCACCCCTGAACCACAAGAATAATAATAACTACGTAGGAGCACTACAGTGTGAAGTAAATAAACCACCGTCAGTCATTAGTCATTCTCTGGTTTTTGGAAGTTTGGCTGCAATTCCTCAGAGATGAAGACACCTTTCTTCAGTCAGAAAACACCCAGCATTTCAGTTTACACACTGTGAATAACTTACCCAAGACACTGCAGATGTGTATTGTACTGAGGTGGATTTCTAAAGTTAAATTCTGTACAGAGAAACAGGAGCTTGGTAAATTATACAGATTTGTAGAGGGGGATCCGAAATGAAAGAAGCTGCTTATGATTATTTAAATATATTTTTCTATAAAGCAGCTACTTTGGTGTCAATAAGGTGGTGTCTGCATTTCTTGAGGAAGCAGTGGGTCCAGTTCCAGAGGCCAGCAAAGGCACCATCGTACTCTCCATCCTCATCACTGTCTGAGGCCCAGCTGCGACTCACAGGGAATTCATCTGATGGGGCTTGGGGAGGCTTGGACCTTCCCTTGGGGGTAGGGCAGCCACATCCCACACTGCTTTGGTGCCCTGACCTTTGTTTCTTACACGAGCAATAGCTCACATTTCAGCCAGGAGAATAACTTACATACGTTAGAGTGCTGTAGGAACTGGCAATCCCTCCTTTGGTCCAGACTGGGTGATGTATTTGTGACATAGAATTCCACACTGAGGTGGGTTTGCTAATGTATCTGCCAACAGCCAGATCCTCAGATAATGGGAACTGGCATAGTGTGTCACAGTGGGTTCAGGAGGCGCCTCGTTAAGGCAGAGCACTCCCATTGCAAGTGTGGTTTGGATTGAGTATTTCCTTCTAAATCAACGTGAGCTCTGACAGTGACTTGAGTGAAAGAAGGAGCCCACGGTGCCGCAGCCAGTGTTGGGTGCAGGGTCTGAAAACGTGCTATGAACAACAGAAACTCCAGAGCCTTGAAGGAGGCCAAATCCTGATGAAAAGCCAATGTTGATGGAAGCTCGCTGCCTTCACCTGGGACAGCAGCACCAGACCATGCTGTTCTAGAACAAAAGGATGAAGACACCAGCAGACATCCAAATGTCAGTACGGCTGTGCAGGCTATCTTGTCACAATAACCTGAGACACATAAACACAAGTCTCAAACAAGCATATAACACATCATTTTAACCTGTATTGAATGTTTAGGTCTGAGGAGAAGCAATATTATCTGGGGATATTTACAAGCAAGTGCTTTGATTCTCATTTATTGATATAAAAAGTAATATTTTCTTGATTTCAGTGAGAGCAGGATCAAACTCACCATCCTTCAGCAGACTGAAGAGAATTATTTAAAGAATGTAGTAAATATTTGCATACATCATTATTATTTTGCAACAGTGTCATAAATGACATTATGAGTTCTTGAATGTAAATCTAATAAGCTGTTTGGTTTTAAAAAGTATATGATTATTATTGTTCAATAAAAAAAACCAAATGAAAGCACTGCTGTCTATTGTGTCTTTCCATTAATGATAGAGTGAGACTGCTGGTGATGGCATAGCCATGGTGCATGCAGGCTCAGTACAGTTTTGTTCCAAAATCCACAGAAACAGTTTCACAGTGGTTGCATCTATTTCAGTGAATTTGCTTCTGCATTTCCTCAGCCGCTCCAGTGACAGATTGCTCCACGCGTAATAGGTTCCAGCATAAAATTATAATATAACCAAATTTTATTCATTATTCTTTGAAATGTCTACCTGTTGCTACTAGTGGCAATGGGACTACATTGGCAGAAGAAATAACGCAAATGACCACAGAATCATAGAATCATTTAGGCTGGAAAATACCACTACGATCATCAAGCCCAACCATAAACCTAGCAAGGAAATCATGTCCCTAAGTGCCACATGCACATGTCTTAAATACCTCCAGAGATGGTGACTCCACTACTTCCCCAGGCAGCCTGTTCCGATGCTTGACAACCCTTTTGGGGAAGAACATTTTCCTAATATCCATCCTGAACCACCCCTGGCGCAAGTTGAGGCCATTTCCTCTCGTCATATTGCCCATTACCTGGGAGAAGAGGCCGACCCCCACCTTGCTACAACCTCCTTTCAGGTGGTTGTAGAGAGCAATAATGTCTCCCCTCAGCCTCCTTTTCTTGAAACTGAACCACCCTAGTTCTCTCAGCTGCTCCTCATGAGATTTGTGCTTTAGATCCCTCACTGGCTTTGTTGTTCTTCTCTGGACTCGCTCCAGCACCTCCATGTCTTTCCTGTAGTGAGGTGCCCAAAACTGAACACAGTGTTTGAGGTGCAGCCTCACCAGTGATCACTTCCCTAGTCCTGCTGGTGACAGTATTCCTGATACAGGCCAGGATGCTGTTGGCCTTCTTGGCCACCTGGGCACACTGCTGGCTCATGATCAGCCAACAGTTGACCAACCCCCCCAGGACCTTTTCCTCTGGCAGCTCTCCAGCCACTCTGCCCCCAGCCTGTAGCGCTGCAGGGGGTTGTTGTGACCCAAGTGCAGGACCCGGCACTTGGCCTTGTTGAACCTCATCCCATTGGCCTTGGCCCCTTGATCCAGCCTGTCCAGGTCCCTCTGCAAAGCCTTTCTACCCTCAAGCAGGTTGACACTCCCATCTGACTTGGTGTGATCTGCAAACTTACTGATTGTCTCACTTGGTCCCCTCATCCAGATCATTGATATCAAAGAGAACTGGCCCCAGTACTGAGCCCTGGAGAACATCACTTGTGACCAGTCACCAACTAGATTTAACTCCATTTACCGCAACTGTCTGGGTCTGGCACTCCAGACAGTTTTTTACCCAGTGAAAATTATATCTGTCCAAGCCATGAGAAGACAGTTTCTCCAGGAAAATGCTCTGGGGAATGGTGTCAAAGGCTTTACTAAAGTCCAGGTAGACAACATCCACAGCCTTTCCCTCATCCACTAAGTGGGTCACTTTGTCATAGAAGGAGATTAGGTTAGTCAAGTAGGACCTGCCTTTCATAACCCCATGCTGGCTGGGCCTGATCACCTGGTTGTCCTGCACGTGTCACGGTATGGTACTCAAATGATCTGCTCCATAGCCTTCCCTGGCACTGAGGTCAGTCTGACAGGCCTTTAGTTCCCTGGGTCCTCCTTCCAGCCCTTCTTGTAGATGAGCATCATACCGCAACTGTCTGGGTCTGGCACTCCAGACAGTTTTTTACCCAGTGAAAATTATATCTGTCCAAGCCATGAGAAGACAGTTTCTCCAGGAAAATGCTCTGGGGAATGGTGTCAAAGGCTTTACTAAAGTCCAGGTAGACAACATCCACAGCCTTTCCCTCATCCACTAAGTGGGTCACTTTGTCATAGAAGGCGATTAGGTTAGTCAAGTAGGACCTGCCTTTCATAACCCCATGCTGGCTGGGCCTGATCACCTGGTTGTCCTGCACGTGTCACGGTATGGTACTCAAATGATCTGCTCCATAGCCTTCCCTGGCACTGAGGTCAGTCTGACAGGCCTTTAGTTCCCTGGGTCCTCCTTCCAGCCCTTCTTGTAGATGAGCATCACTTTGCTAGCCTCCAGTCAACTGGGACCTCCGGTTCTGTGGCTGCTGATAAATGATGGGAAGTGGCTTGGTGAGCACTTCCACCAGCTCCCTCAGTGTCCTTGGGTGTATCCCATCCAGCCCCATAGGCTTCTGTCTGTCCAAGCAGTGTAGCAGCTCACCAACCATCTCCCCTTGGATTATGGGGGCTCCGTTCTCCTCCCCATCTGTGTCTTGCAGCTCAGGGGGCTGGATACCCCAAGAACAACCGGTCTTACTATTAAAGAATGAGGCAAAGAAGGCATTAGGTACCTCAGCCTTTTCTCCCTGCAGAGCCTCACAACATCCTTGTAGTTCTCCTGAGTTTTCTCCTCCTTCTTCCAAAGATCATAAGCTCTCTTTTTTTTCCTGAGTTCCAGCCAAAGCTCTCTGTTCAGCCAGGCCAGCTCGTCTTGTGGCACATGGGGACACCCTGGTCCTGCGCCTTTCAGATTTCCTTCTTGAAGGATGTCCAGCCTTCCTGGACTCCTTTACCCTTCAGGACTGGCTCCCAAGCGACATGAAGTGATGCTCATGGAACCAAAGGCTCTTCATTGGCCTCTTCTTTATTTTCCACCCTTTCATCTTTCTACCTTTCCTTTCACATCTCTCCTGGCTCCCCATTGCACACTCCAACTCATTTTCCTTATTTTGCACAAATGGATTTTCTTTTAGGCTTTTTTCCTTTCTTCAACCAACTCTGTGTTCCAGGCATACTGTTTTAAACTGACCTTTCCTTCCCACACAAGCCTGAAGTTAGCCACGGGTGTTCTTCCCTCCTGGGGTAAAACATGGTTCATCACACAACGTGCTCTTGTCGTCTAGTTTCTAGATCTGTTTTTAGTGGGGTCATATATTATTCCTAGTATGAATACCTTTGGCAATAGGTAGGCTTGATTATCTCAACTACTAAACAGTAAGCTAGTAATACATGCATTGCCTCTTATTTTATATTTAATGTGCAGCAAAACAGATAAGAAGTATGCTGGAATGCAGTATTATAGTTTCTATTGCAGCTGGTATTATAGGATGTTGCAGACACCACTACAGCTCAAGCAACCTACCATCGTATGTTTTAGAGTGATGTCTGAGATGCTCAGAATAGGAGAGCCTGAAATATATCCAGAGGTATTCCACCCATGATTCTAATAATAAGCAATAAATATCTTACCAACTTTTAATGAAAAACAGTAAATCAGCTTCAACTGTACAAAACATCTATAACGTACTTTAAGGTACAACTTCAGTATATAAGTACATTCACACAACTACTGTGAGATGTATCACTGATTAATCACCATAGTGTGATTAATAACATAAATTTACCACTCTGATCTGCTGGGACATGGACATTAGGGCAAACACACCAAAAATATATATTTTAAGGAAAATATATTTATTATCACCTCTGTACATGCTTGCTATCTATTTAAATGGACTGCCAGGTCACAGCAGTGCTTTGAAAGTATTTCCGGACACCTGCAAAGTTGGTAAATATTTCCTGTTTTTGTTGTGTCTGCCGAAAATAGGAATTTTACAAGTTGGACTGCTAACTTGACAGGCACCACGATCTCCAGCTTGGCAAGTCTTAATGTGGTCTCCAGTGGGGTCTGTGACTGTCCGAGAAAACTTGGGCTGACAAAGTGGCGTGTTCTGGGTTTCTTGCTCTCCCGCAACCGGCACCGCTGTTATTTAACTGCAGCCAACTGTCCCTCTGTCTTCTGGGTGGCCACAGACCACGCACAACTGGCTTGATTTTTGCAGTGTAGCAATTAAGTAGGTGTTTAGTAGGGCAAGAGCTCTGACTGCTGAAGCATCCTTACGTAGCAGCCGCCTGTGGCCCCTCCGTGGGTGCTGGGTGCCCACGCCTGGAGAGCTTGGCTTCTCTGCAGGAGACACCGGCTGGAATCTGGCTGCAGCCCCGTGTCCCCCACGCTGCCTGCCTGCGGGGTTCTCAGGGCAGGCAAAATGCTGCCTGTAAACAACCAAACCTGTGCTTGGATGAAGAAAAAGACAGAGATTTCCTTGACTTTATTAATACATGATGCGCCTGATCCTCCCTGATCCCCTCCCATCCACTGTGCTTCCACAGTGGCTGCAACTGAGATTCAGGTGCTACCTCCTTTCCTGCTTGTGAAAGCTATCAAGTAAACATTCAACTGAAATTAAGGGCAATGGTTGATTATACGTGAGCTGATCTTCACTATTCTAGTGAGACGCAGATTAATTGTTCTTGAAATGGCATAATTGACGCAATCTTTCTGCTCTGCAAAAGCTGAGCCTATAAAAGTGTTACTGGATAAAATGGGACAACTGAAATCATATGAACATTACTTGAGAATATCTTTCTTCCTCACAAAAGAAACATCTATTTTTGAAGAACAAATAATGGATTGGAATGCCATTGAAATCCAAACACAATATTAGTATGTTCCTGAAAAAAAAAGGTACAATGCTGGGGGAGAATGCACCAGAGCCCTTGCAGCTGTGTCACACTTTCCTGTTTGTTATTTTTAGTTTTCCATTCCCGCTTTTTATTTTGGGCTTTGCTTTGCTTCCTATGCAGCTTCCCTTTAACTCCTGTATAGCTCTGTCTTACATATTTCAGGCATTTGCCTTTTTTTTTTTCCCTCTCTTTTTTTTTTTTTTCTTCAAAGGAAACCCAAGCAATGCTGTTCAGTTTCAGGAACTCATGTTTCTCTTGGCAGAGGTTGAGTTCTTGGTTTTCTAAAGGCATTTAGGAAATTTACATTGCTGGTTTTCAGCTTTGAACACGCTCAGGCATAAGAACAGAGCAGCACACCAGGAAAGCCCTAATCTGCTCTCCAGTATGTCCCGGTCTTTGCACCTGGGAAA